CATGTTCTGGCTCTCATGGGTTTTTCTGTAGACAATTCAGTGTCATTTGTGGTTACATCTATTGTCTATGGTCTGTCTCCCGTGCTCTGTGAGGGCAGGAAGTTTTGTCCATTTTGATCACCGATGTCTTCCAAGCACATAGAAAAACGCACTGCACATAGGAGGTGCTCAGTAAATTCCGATCAAATGAGTGGATGAGAAAGCCTAAACCTTATGGTGAGGCCCCATCTTCCAGCCACTATACTATAAAACTACATGCTTGTCTCTTTTAAACCTCACAAAGAGAAGGACAATTATTTTCCTCATTTTACAGATGGAGGTTAAATTGGTTACCTGAGCTTGCATGCTAAAAACAAGTAAGCAGAGGCCTGTTTGACTCCCTGAGCTACTCACTGTCAATTGGGTTGTTTCCCAAAGGAAACAGCTGAGTGAGAACTCAATGCCACCGAGTCGATGCCAATGCACAGCAACCCTGCAGGACAGCGGAGAAGTGCCCTGTGAGTTTCTGAGACTGCGACCGCCGCGTACAGTTGAAGAAAGCCCTGTCTTTCTCCCGAGGAGCAGCTGGTAAGTTCAACTGCTGACCTTTCGGATCCCAGCCAAACACATAACCGCTATGCCACCAGGGCAGCAAAATATCCGAAAGGCAGCAGATTTCTTTGGTAACTCCTTTTGAAACCATTTAGGGGTAGAAGACAGCAAGGTCCCCCATCACACCCCACTGTAATCAAGACTACCAATTAAAGATGGGAGTTCTTGTGTTTAGGGTTTCTACTTTTAGTATCGAAATCTCCTGTCTGAATTGGAATTGATTTTGACATTAGCATGCTCTTTGTAAATGCTAGTAGTTTCAAAAGAGGTTGCTATCTGTACAGCAATTCAAGGGGAGTTTATCAATATGACCTGAGGGTACGTGAAGGAATAAGTTAAAGTCATTTAGATTGTCCTTGGCAAGTCCCTGGAAGGGCAAACTGGTGTCTCCTGGAGATCTATAAATCTCTGTCTGATTCGGGGCCAGTGGTAGAATTCTCACCTTCCACTCAGGAGACATGGGTTCAATGCCCAGCCAATGCCTTGTACACACAACCACTTATCTTTCGGTGGAGTCTACACGCCACTACGATGCTGAACAGGTGTCAGCAGAGCTTCCAGACTAGGAAGAAAGGCCTGGTGATCTACGTCTTAAAAACCAGCCAATAGAACCTATCAATCACAATGGTCTAATCCACAACTAATCATGGGACAGTATAGATAGAGCTGGTAGTGTTTTGTTCTGTTTGCATGAGGTCACCATGAGCCTGGACCACTTCAACAGACTAACAACAATGGATTATAAATGACACGTGAAGAGTCAGCACCATTCCAAGTTTGCCATATATTAATATCCCTTGTATTTTTTTTTCTTAGAATTTGTGTCCTTCCACCTATTTCCATTTCTAAATATTGGTCATTGTTACTCCGTGGCATTATCAGGAGAAGAGTAAACATAAGGGTAAATGACCCCAAACTAGATATCGCTGCTGTGAGGAAAGTCCGGTGGCTGTGCAGCAGCAGGACATGGCTGAGTGACTTGGGTTGCTCTGGGAAGAGCAGGGCACGTGAGTGGAGGTGAGTTCAAACGGCAGTTCTACCACCTCTTCCGATAGTTAAGAGTCCATTTGATCTCTGGTTTTCTTATTTGTAAAGTACACATGATGCTTTCTTCTTTTCAGTGCTTGAGGAAGAGGTAGTGGTAGAGATACACGGTTGCATTGTATCTTATGGACTGACATTTCAACTTGTGCAGAATCAGATAATAAAATGTCTGTCATTATCATGGAAGGTTGAAAGGCAACTCTAAATTTTCCCAACATTTAAGAACTGTATAATAATATTTTTTTGAGATTTATTTATTCCCACTAATCAAGTAAAGATCCCTTTTTGTTACTTTCATTTTAATTTCTGGCCCAGCTTAATCAAATGAATGGAAGTTACCTCATTTTTCTAACACCACTGCCTTTGTCAACATCTGTAAAAATGCCTTATCGCACTCTCAGGCCTTAGAACATTGACAGGTTAAAAGGGAAGCTGTAGTCGCAATCAAGATTGCCTGGTGTTTACATGTGAGTGGTCCTAGCCCTTGTTGTGTCCCAGAGTCCTCTGAGAATCTAGTTTCTGTTTTGAGAAAAATCCTCATGTATGCAAAATGTGGGGGCAAATTTCAGATCTCCCACGTCTATGTTGGAACTCACTCATTACGAACAGCTGGTTTAGGAATGTTGTAATCAATAAATATAATAAGTATAAAACAGTAATCTTGCCATTCTGAGACATTTTGTTTTCTCCAAGCTAATTTATTTACTTTAACTTTTTTCTCTTGTTGGGGCCAGAGAATTTATTTTATAACCCATGGTTCAGGATACTATTAGTGACTAATCTGTACTGCACCCCATTGACCTGACCTAGACATTGTTGCTAAGACACATTAAGGTCAGCCAAGCCCTGAGCATGAAAGTTTCCATAGTTTCCACTTCAGCACCGGGCATCTAACTGCAAAGCAGAGGCCAACCCCCTAACAACGGCTCCCAACACAGCTCACAGCCCAAAGAGAAAAGTTGTCACACATTCCATGTTGAAAGCTAAAATACCGCCACACAGTAAAAGGGAAACAGTAAAAAGGGACATATCATTGCTGATTAGTAGGAATTAATACAAGTTTGAAAAATTCATTGTGCTAATAAGCAGAGAGAACATAGTACAGTTTTTTGGATGAAAGGATTATGAGATTTTGAAGGGTTCCTAAAGTTACCTGCACCTGTTAGTGTGAAGGCTAAAAAAAGGGAAGGATTAAAATACCCAAGATTAGATGGGCTTTCTTTGTTTGTCCCTTGCATTATACAAAGGAAAGATGATTTCTGTTTTTTATAGACTATGCACAGATAACATAGGAAAATGGATATTTAAGGCTGAATCCCTCTCTCAAAGACAGCTGCTCTCCTGAAGGCAGTTTTTATCTACAGGATTTTTTTAGAGGGAGATGAAGCTGTTACTAATTCCCCCTAACTTTTCCTTGGGAGGCAGCTCATTTGAAGCCAGTCTTAAAAGAAGTGCATTTGCCACCGTGTCAATGTTTCCATACTCGCAGTCAAGGCAAGCACCTCCTGGGTAGCCCGTGGCAGAGTGCGACTCATGAAAGTGAGATTGCGAAATGATCCTGTTCCATTTTAAATGGAATTTCAGCAGACTGCCATGTTACATTCCAGGTAAACCCCAGCAGGCGCTGGATCTGGGACTGAGTGTGGCAGAAGCCCTCAGGAGTCCCCGCCAGTGCCAGCAGATGGAGACCTGCTCAGACCTCACCCAGGCTGTGGGCTCTGCCTTCAGGACCCTGCCTCGCTTCCGTCGTACAAGCCGCAAGATCATTGCCCCAAGACCTGTTGATTCTCAGAAGGAGGCACCCTTTTCTGCTTCGATTCTCAGAAGCGGGCACCAGATCTTTTGTGGACTACAATTTTAGGAGACATTAAATTATATCGTGTTTTTAACAGAAAGGGGCTACTAGACCAGATGCTTTGGAGCAGAGAGTTAGAGACAGCCAGTGGCTCTTTGCCACATCTTCCCGACATTTTCCCTTTTTGAAGTTCAGCAATGAACTCTATTGAAAGTAGATAGATTTTCACTAAAATCAGATGTATCTTGGTAATTTTTTAATAGTCTCCCAGCCCCATGAAACAGTAGCATTTGATTCTGAATGTTGGGAAAATGATGGGCTGAGAAAATAAAAGGAGCCCTGGGGACGGAGTAGGTTGCACATTAGGCTGTTAACTGCTAGGTCAGCAGTTCGAAGCCACCAGCTGCTCTGTGGGAGACAGATGAGGCTTTCTATTCCCAGTCTCTGAAACCCACAGGAGCAATTCCACCCTCTCCTGTAGGGTGGCTTTGAGTCAGCATTGACTGGATAGCAGTGAGTTTGGGAGAGTAAATAGCTGGCCCACACCCATTAGGCTGAAACAACAGGCACAGGTAAGTCCCCTGCAATGTTAATAGTGGAACAACATTCCGCCCAAGGACACAGCTGCTAAAAGTATCACAATGACCTCCTTTGAGTGACTAGAGCCTCACTGAGAAACACTCTCAAACACAAAACACCATCAGTAGAAGCATGATTGAAACTATATCAGTAAAAATGAAACCTTGTACACGCCTTCCATCTCAGGTGCATTGCTTCCGATAAAGATCTTGGGATACATTTTATCTTAACTGAATTGTTTCCAAAGAAGTAGGATCCTGGGTCCCCTTTGCGGACCAGACCTACATCTAAACTTCCGCTCAGAATCTTAACATTGTTTTCCTATGGTGAAATGCCACCCCTCTTCTGCCCTCCCCCCCCCCCCCCCCCCCCCAGACACACTGGTCTCTCCCTCCGTGCATTAAGTCAACAGATGCCCTTTTGTTGGGTTTTCCCCGGATATTCTTTGGCTGACTGAGGTAGAGCAACGTTTTATGAAATGCTGCAGTTAAACCATCTTGCTGGAGGCTCTAAATGGTATAGTTAATACACATGGCTGCTAATCAAAAGGTGGAAAGTTCACGTGCACCCAGGCGTGGCTCAGAAGAAATCCTGGGAGTCTACTTCCAAAATATCAGCCATGGAAAACCCATGGGGCGCTGTTCTCCCGTGGCACACATGATGCCGCCGTGAATTAGAATCCGTTTAATGGCACCGGGTTTAAAGCATCCATGTGTCTGACTCCATTATTTCAATCTCTCTTTTATCTCTCATGCTCTCTATGACTTTAATATAATATTTATATATCTCACCCTTACAAATTGTGCCTATCAAACCCGCGATTAGTGGTGGTGGGCTGGCACCTTCATACACACACACACACACACACACACACACACACACACACACACACTATGGGGGTGCACCGGTTAAGTGCTTAGCTGAAAGAACTGGGAGGGCTTTTCAGAGAATGTGTCTTTTCCCCAAGCTTGGCAGGCTGCTTTTGACATACCCATAATCGTAGGCCGAGGCCACCTTCCGACTGACTTCAGACCCAAGGGAGTGTTCTGTGGCTCCCAAACTGTACGCCCGAGAACCCTGATGCTGGTAGGCGGAGGCGGAGGAAGCCTGGCTGAAGGCCTCGGATTCCTGGCGGTGGGCGGCCGAGGAGCGGCTGCTATAGGCGGTGGAGCCCTGGGTGTAGATGGCAGAGCGCTTCTTCTCCTGCTGGTACTGGCTCATGGTGGTGTGGAGGTCCTTGTTGCGATAACTTCGATCATAGTGCTCGTGGAACTTCTGGTAGAACGGCAAAGCCATCGTGTGCCCCTTGAGTGAACAGGCAACCTAGAAGAAAAAATCGTTGGAGTAAACTCTTAAGGAACAAATCGCATAAAACAGCTCATCTACACACAGACGATATTGTGTGCACTCCATTTGTTGCAACGGGCACCTTGCAAGTTTTAAAAAACAAAGATAGCACTTTGATGACTAAGGTGTGCTTGGCTCACGCCATGGGCTCTTCAGTTTCCCCATCTACATGTGAGGGTGGACAATGCAAAAAAAAAAAGACCAAAGAAGAATCGATGCTTTTGAATGGCGGTGTTGAAGAGGACTCCATGGGAAGTGATCTGCGAGAAAAACAAGCAAATCCATCTCAGAAGAAGTACCGTGGAAGGCTCCTTTGAAACAAGGTGGTGAGACCTGACCTTGCTTCCTCAGGAAGGTCTTTCATTATCCAGAAAGACCAGTTGCTAGAAAAAGGACCTCATGCTCAGGGGAGTAGAGGGTCAGCCGGAACGAAGGAAGCCCTCAAAGCGATGGATTGGCGCAATAGCCACACAATGGGCTCACATTTATCAAAGAGCATAGAGATGGTACAGGCCTGAGCAACATTTCATCTTGTTACACTTGAAGTGGCTCTGAAGTAGAGCGGACTGGGCAGTAAAGAACAATAACAATGACTGCCCAACAGTCAAGGGACTCCCCATTTCATAGGCTGGGTGTGTCCTTTCTTGCCACTGTACTGCCTGTTTTCTTCTTATCTCTAGGAAGTTGTTACAAAATTTCCCTACCCTACCAATTGTACTTGTTCCTCAGACCTCACACATATATATACCTAAGACACATTTCTCACTTTCTAGCATTTCATTCCCAAAAGGGCTGCACCTGGGAAAGTATGTAATGGTGGGAAGTGTGGTTTTCATTGAACAAATAATTACTGTGCACCAACTATGAGCCTGGCACGATTCCAGCACAGGAAATACAGAAATGAGCAAAACAAACTAGAATCTTCACTCTAATAACCTTATATTCTATTTCAGAAGACAATGTATAAGTAAATATGGTATCCTACCAAAGTTCAGTACCACCAAGTCAATCCTGCCTCCTAACAGCCTGTAATGGGTAATTTTGTGTCAACTTGAAGATACATAAAAGTGTAGGGGATTATCCAACCTGTCAATCAGGTCATGACCTGAGGGTGCTTCCTTGGGGGCGTGGCCTTCTCATAAGGAAGGCTTGAGGTACCTCCCCCTCTTCTCTGCCACTGACTGAGAGCTGCTGGAGCCCTGCCGTGTTTGCACTGACCTTGAATCCACACAACTTTACACCCACCGACCTGTGGTATTCCTGCATCCGGCATCATTACATGTGACTGCATGCGCCTCAAGAGGGACTTACGAACTAGCATTGGACTTGTGGACTTGAATTGGACTAGGCTGGGATGTGGTCTTTGTATATAATTATTTCTTGATATAAAGCGCTTTCTTACATATAAACGAGTGTCACTAGATTTGTTTCTCTAGTCAACCCAACCTAACACACAGCTCTACATAGAACAAGGTAGAACTACTGATTAAGGTTTCCCAAACTGTAAAGCTTTACAGAAACAGACAGCCTCATCTTTCTCATGAGGATACATATGGCATACGTTATGCTAAATAATATAGAGAAAAATCAAGTAGGAAAGAGGGTGAGGTGTAATGTGTAATAGCGCCATCAGGGTTGGCTTCACAGAGAAGTGACAACTGAGCATGAGCATCTGGGGGAAGTGTTGCAGCTAGGAGACCAGTGCGAAGGCACTGAGCTATGAGCATGCCTGCCAGAGTCTGCCTCCCAGTGGCACGAGGGCAGGCAAGTAGAAGAGATAATAAATAACAGAGAGCTAAGGGGTGTAAAGGATCCTTGGTGACCTAGTGGTTATGAGTTGGGCGGCTAACTGCATGGTCAGCAGTTTGAAACCATCAGCTGCTTGAAGAGAGAAAAATGAGACTGTCTATTCCCCTAAGGCGTTACAGTCTTGGAACCTCACAGCCGTAGTTGGACCTCACCTTATAGGGCTATTATGAGTCAAAATGGACTCAATGGCAGTACGTTTGAGTTTTGCCTTTGAAAGGGTGGAAGGGAATAAGAGTGTAGGAGGGCTGCGAGTTCAGAGGGTTTAGGGTTCAATTGAACTTTAACTTTTATTCTGAATGGATGAAGAGCCATGGGAAGGTTCTGAGCTGGAAATTGCTCTGATGTCCGAAGAACTGACAGGTAAGAGATCAGAATGGTAGTGCTCAGGACACAAGATACAGGTCCAGGATAGAGATTTTTATTTGAAAAGTAAAAGCATATAAAGGATGTTCAAAGCCAAGAAAATGGCTGAGAAGGACTGTCGATGGAAAGGGGCTAGGACTGAACATTAAAGTATAATAATGCTATCGTGTAACCTGCTCCCTCAAGTCTCACAAACACTTTTTAAAAAAGTAGAACATAAAAGCAGGCAAAATATTTACAATGCTCTATTAAAAATATGAAGGAGCCCTGATGGGCGCTTGTCGGGTAAACATAGGATTACTAACTTCAAGGTCTGTGGTTCAAACCCACCAGCTGCTCTTCGAGAGATAGATGAGTCTATCCTGCCCATGAAGAGTTATCGTTTCAAAAGCCCTATGGATGGTGCTAGGAGTCAGAGTTGACTCGCTGGCAGTGGGTTTACTAAGGAGAAGAAGGAAGGCTTCTAGTCCTACCTAAAGCCGTAAGAGAGCCCACTCTCCGTGTCTGAGTTTGTATTGTGAACTTGGGTTCTTTGCAGTTCTATGGAAAGTCAAAAATATCATCTCCAGCAGAGGGAGAGGAAACTTCCGATTGCGTTTGCTTTCTTGAATAATCTCCCCACTGTCAGGAGGCCACAATGGTAGCCTCGGGTGAACTGTAGACACCTCTAATTATTTAAACTTTTCTGCATGTTCCTCCCTCCTGCCCCTGGTAACCATCAAAATCTGTTTCTTTTCCCATGAAAACCTTCATCTCGATTTTTTTCTTTTGTAACAGTGGTTTCATATAATATTTGTATTTTCGAGGACAAATAATGTACTTCACATCCATGTCATGAGGTGCTTCAGTTTCATTATTGTTCTTTAATGATGTGATTGATAGTATTCCATTGTGTATATGCACCACCGTTTATTCATCCATTCTTCCACTAGGGAGCACTTAGCATGTTTCAATCTTCTTGCTATTGTGGATAGTGCTACAATGAACATGGTGTGCATGTATCTGTTCATGTTCTACTCCTTACTTCTGTAGGCTATATACCAGTGGCAGAGGCACGTGGCTGTGTTTCTATTCCTCATTGCTTAAGGAAGGAGTCTTGGTGCGGTAGTGGTGACAGATTGGGCTGCGATCTGCGGTCAGCAGTTCCAAACCACCAGATGCTCTGTAGTAGAAAGACGAGGCTCTCTACTCTCGGGAAAACAATTACAGTCTTGGAAGCTCACAGGGACAGTTCCACCCTGTCCTATGTGGTCACTATGAGTCGGCATTGCCTCCATGTCAGTGAGGGGGTTTGTTTTTAATTGTTGGAGGAGTGCCATCATGCTTACCACAGTGGTAACAATGTTTTACAATCCTACCGGCAGTGTGGGGGTTCCAATCTCTCTGCGTCTTCTCTAGCATTTTTTTTCTTTTCTTTTTTTACTTTTCTATTAATGTCAGGGTGAGTTGGTATCTAACTGCTGTTTTGATTTACATCTCTCACATGGCTAGTGATCTTGAGTATTTTTTTCATGTCTGTTGGTCACCTGGGTGTGTTCTTTGATGACTGAGATAGTTAAAGTTTATTGTGCCAACCTGGCCGATAAACACATGTGGGGTTAATTGAAGGGTGGAGGGATAAATGGCTCAGTGAGCCTCGTCTTTCTAGTTCTCAGGTCTCTTGTTTGTGATGGTCAGACCAGGGTGCAGCTGTCTTAGCCAGTTCCCTACTCTAGCTGGCAAGGCTCACTTCCTGCTAGACATCCCCAAAGAGACGCCGCATGGACCTGCCCTGATGCAGCCCTGGGTGCTGGAGCAGCCGTGTGGAGACTCCTGCCAGCACTGAGATGCTTACGCATTCACTGATTCGGCTTTCCTCCTGCAGTCGGTGTCATAGTGTGTGTTTTGTGAGATGGAGGAGGACTTTGTGGATTGGTGTCGGACATATGGGTTAACTGGTTAATGTTGGACTTGTGGGCTTGGGCAGCACTGGGTTGGGATGTTATCTTTTTTCTTTTTAATTATTTTATTGGGGCTCGTTACAATTCTCATCACAATCCATACATACATCCATTATGTCAAGCACATATATACATTCGCTGCCCTCATCATTCTCAAAACATTTGCCCTCCACCTCAGCCCTTCATATCAGTTGCTCACTTTCCCCTGCCCTCCCCTCCATGTTTTCTTGATGTACACTTAGCCTTTATATAAAACTCTCTCTTATACATGAGTTTCTGTGGATTTGTTTCTCTAAAAGTACCCAGACTAATCCAGTGAGCTCTCTGTCATGACCTGCATATTTGTGTTGGATTATGTGATATTTCTTGTTGAGATTGCCAAATGGTTTTTCTCAGTTTGTGGGTTCCCTTTACACTCTTCTGATGAAGTTCTTTCGATACACACCTGTGTCATTTTTAGGAAGTCCCAGGCATTGATTTTGTCTTCTGCTGTGTGTGTTTTTCAATATATTTGATAGTGTGTTTGCACCACGTATTAGTGCCCTTAAATTCTTCCCTAGTTTCGTATTGATGATCTTTTAGTTCTAGGGCTTCAATTTAGGTTTTTAACTCATATTTAGTTTATTTTTTTATTTGGAGTGAGGTATAGGATTTTTCAGTATCATTTGTTGAAGAGGCAATCCTTTCCTCATTTAATGTTACAGTCTTTTGTCAAAAATAAGTTGTCTATGATATGTAAATTGTGTGCCAATAAAAATGTTGCAGGGAAAAAAGTTGTCTATAGTTTAGGAGTTTATTTATGGGTTCACCATTCTGGTCCATCGATCTACATAGCTATCATTGTACCAGTACCAGGCTGTTTGG